TTACATTTTCATGTGAAATACAGATATTAAAGATTTTTAAAATGCCAAACAAACTAATGTGCAAGAAAATCAGGTAACATAAACAAATAAATGCAGTAAAGTAGGTTAGATGATTGGGTATGATGTGAGCTTATTTGAAATAGTGGCTAAGTGAAGACAGGGAGCAGAACCAGCACACAAATGTCTGGGGCAAAGGGTTCTAAGTAGACTGAACAGCCAGTGCAAGGTTCACAGGTGGAATACAGTTTGGCATTTTCCAGAAGGGGCAGTGTATTTTGGTAGAGTGCATAAAGTGAAATATGGTAAGAGATCAGGATGGAGGACTAGTCAAGGGCCAAATCATGGGAGGTGTTACAGGTTCTGAATATCTTAAGATAATCTCTACTTCTGAATCCTTTATTAGAATGCTTTGATGACATTGCATATTTTAATATTCGTCTTTTTTTTTTTTTTTTTTTTTTGAGACACTCTGTTGCCCAGGCGAAGTGCAGTGACACAATCATAGCTCACTGCAGCATTGACTTCTGAGGCTCTAGTGATTCTCCCACCTCAGCCTCCCAAGTATCTGGTACTACAGGCACATGCCACCACATCTGGCGAATTTTATTTTTTGTAAATCCAGGGTCTTGTTATGTTGCTGGGGCTGGTTTCAAACTCCTAGGCTCAAGAAATCCTCCCACCTTAGCTTCCCAAGGTGCTGGGATTACAGGTGTGGGCCATTGCACCCTGGCATAATGTTGAACTTTTATAAAGATCTACTTAAGGAAGTTATCTTAGAGTTTAGTGCATGAAGAAATATGATGTCTTTAGAAGGACTGCTACATTTTCTTGTATCTGATGAGAGCTTTCAAACACAATGCAGTTCCTTTGTGGTCCTGGCTGCCAGGAGACACCAAACTTGAGCTCCCATGAACTAACAGTCTTTAGCTAAGGTTCTGGGAAAAATTTATCTCCCCTCCTTCATGACTATTTTCTTTGTTATTTTTCTATGTCACCATTGATTTTATGTTGTTCACTGCTATTTAAAATGCCTTTGGAAATAAGTATAATTTTTAAAAAATCAATAAAATCACCACATTTGCCAATCTGGAATATTTCTTTTTAAAACTATGATTCATATGAAATCTATTTATTAAATAATTGTTTCATCTCTGGGAACTACCTGTTAAATTAAATGAATAAGCTCTCAATTATACCAATGAGGTTAAATATGTTGCTAAGTATGATCAAATAAGGTTTAAACGGACAGGTAAATAAAGATTGATATATAATATTATGGAAGGTCAATAGAGAAGGGTATTTGCTGGCTAAGGGGAAATGAAGAAGACAGCACAGAGATAAGGTGCCTCCACTGCGTCTTAAAGTAAGACCGCTGTGTGCTGCTAAATACGGTAATGCTTGCTGTACACTGCACAAAACTAAAGGGTGTCATCCATATTACATATTATCAGATCTTATACAATTTGATACAATTTATTATCAAATATACAATATTGTACAGCAAACATACTTATAAATATATATCACCTATGATACATCATATATATGCAGTAATTTTTAAACATGGAAATATACATTAATTTAGATTTGATTTGGCCAGGTTGGATATCGGACATGTTATTATTTTTCAATGCTTCAAGTATACACACCTTGTTAAGAATCACTGAATTTAAAGAGTAACATTTAGTGGAGAATGGAAAATTCTAGATATAAGAACTATTTGAAGCAATGAGAGATGAAAAGTGAGAATGCAGGGACAATTTCATTGAAGAACAGATGATTCAAAACAGAAACAGTAGGTGACGGCCTTAAATACTCATCTGAGGAGTTTGAAGCCCATTATCTGGGCAATGAGGGTTATTAATGTTTTATCTTAAATAAATCAAAGAGTCTAATTTGTGACTTAGAAAGATTAATCTGATAAACAAGAAGGGAGCAGATCTTCATGCAGGAAGATCAAGTAGGGCATGAAGGCAATGGTCAATGTGGTGGTGATTGAAACCTGACTTAAGTAGAGGCGGTGAAAAATAAAACACAGGAGACGAATAGAAAAAAATATATGGTGAAGTTAAAAGTGTTAGAAATTGGAAGATAATTGGGTGTATGGGTGACAGTTTCAAGCTGAGCGACAGTAAATATGGTGATGAAATGTATGGAGACTGAGAACACAGTCTTACAGATAGGGAGGAGGAGATGTGTGTTTAAGACACCTGAGTGGAGACATCCACAGAAGGTTGACATGCAGTTACACACAGAGAGTCAGTCATGCCAGAGTGTCCAAGAGTTCAAGGCCCAGATCCATGGAGATCTAGGTCCAAGTCTGGCCATGTGAGGCACCCTGACAGTGAAGTAAATTACTTAACTTTTCTAAGCCTCTATTTAAATTGTAAAGCAGTAAATATTAGTATCACCCCCAAGAGTTAAAATAAATTAAGATAATAGACCCTGGACTAGTATGTAGAAAAGCCTTAACAATGCTAACTAATTTTATGATTAGAATAAAATTTAAGGGTCAAAAATTAAAATTTGGAATTAATTGTGCAGAGGTACTAAACTAGGCTCACAGGGAAAAATGCATTTTCAAGGAAGAGAAGATGTAGGAAGAAAAGAAAAAATATAGCCTAGACCTTGATAGGTACCTATAACTTAGAATGCAGGTAGAGCAATGGGAACCCAGAGATAGACAAGGAAACAACAGCCAAGAAGGTACCTTTCTAATCTTTACATTCATAAATAGCCAAAAGCGAAGGAGTGATATATGAAGTGTGGTATAGGGTCTGGAGGTCTCAACTGCAGAGCTTTGCTAGAACTTTTCAATCCACCTCAGAACCATCATACTTAATCCTTTCATGTTTTTCTCTAAGAAAGAAGACGGAGCTACAATTCACTAGAAGCAGCTTTGTACAGTGGTTGTCAAAAAATTACATTAATCATTGTTTGACTCTTGCTGATTACTATATAACATCAAAACAAAGTTTCATACACATAAAGTGCTACAGCATGGAAGTAATAATGATAACAAATCAAGGCTCTGTGTCTGATTTAAAAAGCAGTGGGACATATGCTTGGCTGCCACCATAATTGGCTATGAGCCTGTTGTTTTTTTGCACTGGAAGAGGGACTTTATGTCCTGTGGATATTATTTCTTGGTCCACAGGGACCCAAGTTTCCAGTAGATTACAAGCTCTATGCACATAGCCAGATGTGTCCAAGACTCTTTCTTAAATTAGGCTATTTCTGTAAATTATGCTTAACTTTTTTTCTTTTAGTATTGGGTTTTTTTAAAAATTTCTTTTGGTTCTTTCTCCATGAGAATTAACTAGTATCTCCCTGGACTCACAGTGTCTGTGGTGTCACTTGGGATGTTGTAACAATCCCTGCCATAGCTGTGAAAACCTCCTATGATAACCAAACTAAACAGATACATTGATGTTTCAGTATCACTGTTCACTTGTGTTCACATTGGATTTGGTTTTATTCACTCATTCATTTATTCTTTCATTCAGAAAATATCTTTTCAGCACTGCTATAAACCAATCATTTAGCTAGGTGTGTTCTCATGTGTTATCCAAAGAATGAGTGTTCTGGTAGGGTTTAAAATGATTTCGAGAATAGTTCTCGTTTAAAGACTTCTTCAATTCATCTCATTCTTGTTTCCTCATGCGATACCACTGCCACTAAACCTGTTGATGTTACTTTCTTTTTTTTATTGTTTAGAAATTATTTTTTAAAATATATATTATATTGCCTTTTAGGTTTTGGGATATATGTGAAGAACATTCAAGATTGTTGCATAGGTACATACATGGCAATGTGGTTTGCTGCCTTCCTTCCCATCACCTATATCTGGCATTTCTCCTCATGTTAAATATGTCTTAAATACATCCTCTTTTTCTCCACTTTCTGTGTCATTTTTAGGCCATATTACCCTTACAGCCAATCATAATTACCTGACTGATTTCTCCACCTGAATTCTTATCACTTTTCAATCCACTGTTGGAGACTTTTTCTTTTCAATGTAATTCACATTCAATCATGAATCTTTCCAGATTAAAATACTTCAAAGGCTTCTTATTGTTCCTGGGGTAAATCCTTACAAATTCCTGTGCTATCTAGCCCACCTCTAAACCTCCTGCATCATCTCGTATTTTCCCTGTTCTCTGTTATCCAGGGGCATTGGCTTTCTGCTTTCTCCTTTCAGTTGTCTAAACCTGCTATGCTCCTAGCTGTCCCTGGCAGACTTATTGCAGTTGCTGCTCCCTTACCTTTCAATGCTTTCCTTAATTCTTTGCCAATTGAAACTTACTCATTTTTGGATATTAGTTTATTTAGCACAATGTATATTGAGCTTGAATCTTGTATGTATATGGAAATGTATGTATACATATGTGTTTATATATGTATATATGTATGTATATATTTGTATGTATATGTACATGTTTACATATACATATATGTACATATGCAGATACATACATATGCATATACAAATATATACATACATTCCCATATACATATAATATGTGTACATATCAATATAATCTAAAAAAATCTAAAAATCTTGTAAGTATATGGGAATATATGTATACATATTTTTGTGTGTATGCATGTATATATGTATGTATATATATTTGTATGTATATACATATATGTATATACATGCATATATGTATATACATACATATATACATACAAATATATATGTACATTTCCATACATGTCTACACAATATTCATACATAGGCATATATTTACATATAAACATCCATATGCACACATATATGTACAACATACATGCATGCATGTATATGTGTATGTATATGTATATATGTATGCATCTATTAGAAAAGCCTCTCTGATCTCTCAGTTTAGCTTGTCACATTGCAACTTTGTTTTCCTTCACTAAACAATAGCATACCTGAGAGCACAAATTTAGGCTCTTTACCATTTTTTCCCCAAAGGAGAAGCACAATACGTGATATAAACAAAATCTCAACATACCTTGCTTTTGAATGAAAAATGAGTAATGATAACCCAACCATCTTAAAAGGGAAGAATGTTGCTTTGGGGAAGCATTCCTTGGGGAAGTACTGTCTCCTGCAAATTCTTGACGAGGCTTTTATAATTCATGAAGATGACATTAGAATGAAGAAAATAAATAAGGATATTAATTTAGCAATAATATTTGGCTCCAAAGGTTTGAAACATTATTAAATTATTTTAATAGCATATATTTCTATTGGTTTTCATTATTTTTGAAGACCAAACACAGAGTATACATTCTTCCCTAAAGTCAGCTTTTTCAAACACACATAATGTTATTGTATTTTTAAATTGGCAGATAAAATTGTGTGTATTTATTGTGTAAAACATGATGTGTTTTGAAGTATACATCGATTGTAGCTAATTAACAATATAAATTACCTCATATAGTTGTCACAGACATATGTGGTACAGACACTTAAAATTCACTCTCTTAGCATTTTTCAAGAGAATAACATATATATTGAAGTCAGTTATAAGCAACAATGGCAATAAGAACTTTACCTTAATCTGATGCTTAGAATAAAGACATTCCACATATGCTGTATTAGAGAAAAGCAAGTTAAGCTGAGAAGATTAATATTAAACCTTTGTCACAGCTCTCCTGTAGAAAAATGCTTCTAATGAAGAAGATGTGTTTGGGTGAAATTGTTTATTCCATGCTAACAAACAAACAAGCAAACAAAAATCCATGGCAAGAATAGTGTGCTAATAGAAATTACACAAATTAGCCTTCAAATATCTTTCAGAGTCTGCATTTGTAATTTAGGCAAGCTGATAATTATACAAGGGCATTTTTTCAAATACGTTTTTCATAAACACAAGTTAGCAAGGTTAATATGTAAGTATCTTGTTGAATAATAGTATTGTTTTCAAGTGGGCAGAGGGGTTTATGCCAAAATTTTTCTAGAAGGCCACAAACTGTTCCTTCCCAGTTGTGTTACAGAGGGGTTCAAGAACAGTTCAGTGTTAACACAATGGATGAAATATACAAATGAGGAGCAAATCTTTGATTTAAAATTTGAATTTTTAAGCATCATATTATTAATTTTAAAAGTCCTAAACACATTCAGCATTACATATGCAGGATGAATTAAATGTCATTAATAATACTTGAAGCACACTGGATGATGGCGATAGAATAGAGAAGAAAATGATCTGAAAGCAGACTAGCACTTGGAAGACATCAGAGAAACGGTGTGGGAAGTGCTGGGTAGGAGTGAAAACATGATTCTACTACTGCCTCTATGTATGATGCTTTGCATATGTACAGATAAATATAACTACTTGTTTTGAGAAAAAGATGTTCATACTGAAATGGGAAATTCCATGATATTATCTTGTGAAGGACTTTCTGTCAACAGCTGGAAACAGCTGCTATTAGCAACAGGATTGTAGGTGCAACTTTAATGGCTTAAAGTTAGGCCAGACAACAAACTGGAAAAAAAATAAGTCCTAAGTTTCAATTGAAAGTCTGTGATGAAATGTTCAGGTTTGAAGATGGTATAGAAAACTTCTGGGGATTACCTAGATGGAGGGAGTCAGTGGTCTTTCTCAGTGATTTACCACAGAGCCATCATCCTTTTTAACACAATCCACCACTACTTTTCCCCTCCTTCACCACCTATCCCTATCAGCTCATGCCCAACAGGGAGTAAACAATTTAATGATAATGCAAATATAATTTGTGGAAAAGAAATACAGGATTTCCTATTCTTACTTGTGGGACATAATCCATATTTGAAGATAATAGTGCTTATAATGTCAGAGGTAGTCTATGATATTTACTGTGTTCATAGGAAATATGCATAGCTGTGTTCACTGAATTTTTAACATGGCTTCTTGTTTCTTTGATAAAATAATTTGTTTAAAAGTTCCTAGTTCAAATAATAGAAAAACCCTTTACACACAGGGAACAACATTTTTTTTTTCCTTAATGATAAAGGTCGCATTCTGTAATATTTGGAGATATGTGATCCTACTTTTCATGCAAAAACCATCTGACCTAAAGGACCAACTCCTTGCCACCTGGTGTTCCCTCTCTATGTCACATATCAGACCTCTGGCTGAGAAGCGGCCATCAGGGCTGGCCCTCCAGGATCTGGAAGATCAAAGTGTGCACATACACACTGGCAAGGAGAACATGAAACACATAAATGCAAGAAATGACAAACCTCCCTGGCTGTAGTGGTGGCTTACGGATCTTCTTTTTCCTGCGTTAGAGACATAATGCTTCTGGGAATGTCTTGGTGTCATAGCAGTACTCTTTAGGGACCATTTCTGTGCTTTCTCTAACTTTGTTTAAGCAACAAAAAAGTAAAAGAAGCTTTGGAATTGCTCATAGGGTGGCTAATCTGATACAGATAAAGGATAGATGAAACTCATTTTTAGCCTGTAACAATATTGTAGGATGGAAAAGAATACTTGCTTTTGAGTCAAAATTGGGTGGGTTAGACTCTCAAATGAGTCAGTTATTTACCATGTGTCCATCGTCAAAACTTATCCTGTTAGTTGCAGTTTCTTCTCTGGAACATGAGCCTGAAATATTAATTTGAAAGGTTTTTGGGATTAGAGAAGGAGAATGAATTTGATGGTATCTACCTCACAACGTGTCAGGCACAGGAACAGTGCTCAATACATAGGACCTGTTATTAAAATATGATGAAAATACTGGTTATGGTAATTTGACAAAATAACCTTTCTTTGTGGCTAGTGGTTACTACTCAATACAGAATAGATTTATTTAGAGTGGTAGCTCTAGTCTATCATTTTCCTTTAATGTCATTGTGCAAAATAAATTTTAATTGAAAATATTTAAATATAAGGAGAGCAATATGACTCTTTTCTAGTTTCTCTGTTCACTTTGCTTTAATATAGAATTAGGGATTTTTAGCACATAAATCCTAGAAAGTAATTTAGAAATCTTGTCATTATATCTTCAGAGTAATAACTTTCATCACAGCGGCTGTTTGGGCTGAGTAGAGCTTTATTCATGTTTACCAGAAGTCCTAAGCAAAATTTATTTCAAACCAAATATATTCTACAACTGTTCAAAAAGATTCATAAAACAATAATTTAAACCAAAGAACTCTGGCAGTGCATGGCACTTTCTGCCTCATTAATTTAGGCAAACAAAAAAAGTGACCAAATGACTACTGAAAACACAGAGGAGAAAAAATACTAAGAAAGTTTACAGGGACTCACCTGCAAAAGTTACTGAAACAAAAATCTGTTGACTAAATAGTAATGAATATTCACTTTTATGTTGTTTTATACTGAAGAAAGGAAAACCTGAGCCTTTCTCTGTACTATCAGAGCAGATGGCAACCATGAAGTGAAGCACACTGACTATTAATGATTGATCACTTGAATTTCTATGTTTTATAAGTACAGCTTCCATCTGTTAAGGGGAATAACAGGTTCTAGCAAGGAAAGGATTAAGGGCTTTATTTTCCTCAACTGAAGCCCAAAATGAGTGAGCTTTTTCAAGTTAACGTTTATTTCATTTGGCTCAGGTGTCAAGGATCTATATTTATCTGGTGTTAGGCGTGTGTCTGAAGTGCTGGAAGTCTCAGAATGTCAATGGCTTTCAGATGTCGAGATAACCTTAAGGATAGATGAAGGGTTGAGAGGCTGTGCCTCATTTCTGAGTCCTCAGCTGCTATGCCGTGGAAATCCTGTTTATTTTCTGCGTCTCCTCCTGCAAGAGTCTCTCTGGAGCCAGTCTTGAGGTCCTACAACTGCGGAAGCAAGCTCTTCTAGAAGTTGGTGAGCAGAATGCTTTTTGTTTAGAACTAGGCTATAAATGTATTTGTAGTTGATGCACTATCATCTAGTAAGTAACTATTTTGAGCTCTCTAAAACATAGTTTAGTCTGTGATGCTTCTTTCAGCATATTTGCAAGTTTTAACCAAAGGGTTAAAGAAATTTGCTTTTTAAGCCTTAAAACTTGCATTTCCACAAGTCTGTAAATTCCATAGGATGCTATGGATTTCCAGTTGCCTATTTCATGTTTTTTACTTAGAAAGCATCAGAAAACCTAAACTTCTCGTGATTTCAACAAGTGTAATTTTACTTGAAACTTTTTTCTTTAGATTTCTTATTTTATTTCTGTATTCTGATAGGTTTAGAAGAAGATTAAATTTTTCAAAAGGATACTCTAAAAATCTGACCAATTTGATTATCCTTTTCCAACTTGGAAAAATATTTATTTCAAATGAGACTAGAATTTGAATCACCGCCTTTAGTGGGACTCTGAAAATGTTTTTTGGCCTGCTGTCGCAACTGACAAATATATTGAAGAAATAACCTAAAAGACCAATATTAACAATTTGACTTCTAGACCGAAGAAAACAAAAGCCTTTTATACATAAAACTTACTAATCATTAGTGATCGTAGAAGATTTCTTGAGTGTGGGCCTCACAGATCCTGTTTGTGGGGTGGGGGAAGATTTTGTGACATAGCAGAAATTTTGTTATATGGTGTGTTTCATAATATGGCTACATAAGATCAGGCAACAATGCCAAGAATGACAGTCATTACTTATACAGAAAGTCAAGTTAGGCATATTTTGAGACAAAATTAAAGGTTGATAGAAAAAGAAAAAAAGCAATTCCTTCTGTTTCTCCATGTTTATTTTACAAACCTTGGAAATGAATTAGATAGGCTTCTTTGCCGTTATGAAAAGGTCACCTTTTATTATTTGAGGAATGGTTGCTTGGTGCTAGACTGAATTCTGGGGAACTACTCAGGGCTAATACTTACAAAGGGATAAACTTCTTATTAACACTCCTTGAGAGAACTCACAACTCAGATGAGCTCTGTATCTCAGATGAACAGGCACGCTGTCTTGCTTTCAGATATACCTGACTGAATAATAAAAGTGGATTTGTGGAGGAATGTATGTCAGGGTGACTCACCTCATCCTGACAAGAGGAAAGAAAAAATATTTTCAAATAATGTACTGCACAAATAGTAATTATTTGGAATCTGATCCTTTTGTAAAGAATAATGACAACTTGGTAATTAAATATTCTAAGAGTTCAAGAAAACAAACACCTGAGGATAATAAAACAATTTTCACCTGGGAAAAAGATAAGCTCTGGAACTCAAGAATTCTAGTCAGGCAAAAACAAAACAAAGCTTTTAAACTGCTGACAAATCATTGAAAATCACTGCTTAAGGCTGCGGAGTGTGATGATTAAATGAAAGGAAATGTTTCTCTCAGAGCAAAGAAATATATAATAATATTAAGTATTGGTATGACTGTGGCTCATTCCGCTTTTGGTACAAATTACTAATTAAGATGACTAAGGAATTTAATCTGATATGCTTAGGATTTATAAACTCATAAAGCTTCAGGTTAAAATGAGTGAAAATGAAAACTGTATTGGTCTGATGTTTATGGTTTTCCTAAAGATTGCATTTTAGATTAAAATTGTGAACTGCATCATCACTTTATTGCAATCTATGAGGAACAACAGGTCCTGGAGGAGGGGGAAGGAGACTATTTCCATATCACGTGACTAGAATCTTCAGTCACGTCTAATTCACAGCTATTCAATCACAAGCAATAAAGACTCATCAGGAAAAGGAAATGAACTAAAACAAATATAAGTATGTAAGAAATACAAAAAGAACACAATTGAGTAAATAGTTTTAGTGTTTTGTTGTATGTAGAAGTACAGTAATTGGCTAAACCACTGGAAAGCTTGTTTGTTTGGTTTTTGTTTGTTTTTACAAAGTATGCAGTTGGTTCCACTACAGACTTTCAAGTCATTTCTTAATGGAAAAGGTAAAGTGAATTCTGATTGTGCCTTCTAACAAATTAAACCATGAGGAGACGAAGTACCACTTTTAGATACATGCTGTCGGTACCCTGCTAAATAGCTGAAGATGTTTTGAAATATGCCCAGAGACCTTTGTCACACAGACACTATTGTACAAAGAAGGAAATGACAGAAAATTGGCAAGTATTTGAGGGGACATAGGAGACAGCTTGGCTCATTCACCAAGGACTCTGGGCTGTGCTCAAATGGAAAAGAATTGTTTGCCCTTCAGTACTTGTGATGTTTAAAGGTGAAATGAGGATAGTTTTTAAAAATAAATTATTATTAGTTTCATCTCTTAATGCTGTTCCTTCTCATTAAGTCTTCTAAATATAAATATTACTTTTCTCATTTGAATTTTTGGAAAGTCATAAAAAAATTAGTAGTCATGTTTTACAACCACGACTTAGTAAGAAAATCTCAATCTATTTCCCCATTCAGTATGATACTAGCTGTAAATATGTCCTATGTGGCTTTTATTATGAAATTCATTTGGAGGTTCCTTTGGTCTCATGTTGGGACATCATTCTAACTTTATTTAAAAAGTACCAAATGCCGTTACAAGATCAGCTTCTTGTATTTCATTCCGGTAAGTTTTAGAAATGAAGTAGTAAACATTAGTGTGTTCAGTACAGTGGTCTCATAAAATAGAACCCAAAGCATACTATCTTTTTAGAGCAGATATAAAATTTTAAGTAAACTAGATACTTAAGACTGAGCCCTAAAACATGAAATAACTATTTTGGTTGAATACATGATGGAGTTGCTGTCTTTCAAATTCCTTTATTCATTGACATACTGTTTCAGAAATATTTAATGAATGCCTAATGCTTTAGGAAACACTATTAGAAACAATATTGTGCTGATCATTGATAAGAATCTAGGATTATTTTACAGGTGATTTTCTGAACCTTGTTCATATATAATGAAACTTTTGATGAAGTTTAAAACATAAGAACTGTTTACTTAGTAAATGGTGAAAGCATATTCATCATTTTATGGACACTTATTCTCATGACCCCACAACAACAGCTCCATTAAAGTGTTTTCGCCCAGTCTCTGGGAAGGAAGATACTGGCAGAGTTGTTCCTATTGCTTGCTCTAAGCTTCTGGTTGTTGTATCATTCACTCTTAAAATGCTAAGTAATTTCACACAATGTTGGAAGCCTCTCCAGAATAAAATAACTGTAGTATGGACTCTAAGCTTTAGAATTGATAACTTCCTAAAATTATTTCTTTTTGAACTATTTCATCTGAAATGGAGAATAAATACTACTATTAATTTTATCTTGGTCTCTTGGGGAGACCTCTAGTTTCTATTGGCTCCATCCTTTTCAGAGCTGGTTGGGCAATAGGTACATCTAAGCAGATGCATAGACAAGGAATTACAATGCAGTAACGTATGAGCTGTGATAAGCGTAATATACAGGAATAAGAGCATTGCTTACAGACCTTTGCTATTGCCTAGAGTTGGAACATCTTGCCTGCATACAGACTCCATAAAGGTAATGGAGCTATTCCATTTGTAGCGTCTTGTGTTAGTATCAGCAATGTCCCAGTGCCTGACTCACATGTAATAAGCTCATAATTTCTCAAAAGAGAGATTGTATTCATTTATTGAAAATATTGTCTAAATATTTCCTAAATCAAAATATTTACATTTTACTAAGGACTATGACTAAAATTTTAAAAATTTTTGAATCATGTAAATAGCTTAGATACATTTCTTTTTTATGTTTAGCATTTTTCAAAAAAATATCC